TTTACAGGGCTTGGCACTGATCCACTGCAGCAACTGCATCATCTCAGGTGGGCATTTAGTGGCTGGAGAGGGACCCAAGTTAAAAATGAAACACAGATCATGGAAGTACCTGAGAGCCCAAAGAGAACAGAGGGCTAGAGCAAACTGATGAGCATCTTGATGTACAAAATCACAGTATTGACTAAGTTCACTGGTTAGTATGCGAAGTTTTTAAGTAGCTGTTTTTTTCACACTTCCAGGTTAAAACCTTCAGAAGGATGTGGTCCTTTCAGAGGCTTGTCTTCTATGTATGCTGCAGTGTCTGAGTGGATACATACACTGGAACATTACACTGTCTCAGAATGGGTTGTGTGGATCTACCATAACTTAATTACAAGTGAACTTTTCTTCTTCATCCTCTCTAGCGTTGTACTGTAAGTACCTGCTAATGAAAAGTGGAAAAACCTGGCAATGACATAGCCCTTCTTCATAAAAAAAAAAAAAAATTGCAAACTGCATTTTAAAGCATCAGAAATAGTTAATGTGTTGGAAATTCATGTATTTGAAGTACATAAAGAAGTTGTGAAACCTATTCCTATTATGTTAGAATGCCAAAGCTCCTTACAAACCAGCTCCAAGCTAATCCTGTGTGGAGTTAGGGGAATTTTGGGCCTCCCTTATTCAGGCCTCCTATTTTTGGGCTTCCTTTGTTTTTTTCCTTTCCCTGTTTGGGCTGGAAGGGTGTCCAAGGTGCACACCATAGGGGCAATGGTAGTAGGTGGGTTGCAATCTCCTTCCAGCTAATCCCAGGTGAACTCACATTCTGTCACCTTGGTTGAAGTCAATTATTTTGGGAAAACCAGTATGTGCACATTAAGCTACGTGCCCATTGATGGGGTTTGAAGTCATAGGTGTGCTGCTGGGTATTTCCAGTGTGTCCTTGTGCACCTGAGAGCCCAAATCTGTTCCCATTAAACAAGATCCCACTCGCTCTAGTGGGACCAGGACTGGCCTGGAAGCAGTAAGTGTTCCACATTGTGATTTAAGGTCCAGGCCCGTGCCCAAGGAAATGACACAAGGTTGGATAACAGCAGTAGGTTCCTGTTTGTTATCCAAAATGCACCTTGTATTGCTGACTTACTTAATTGTACCTCTCATATTTTATACAAGTTCTTAGATCTTTGGGTCTTTGTCAAGAGAGTGTTTTAAGCAATTTCATGTGTTTGCCATTCCTTGTGTAATTGTGTACATCTACTTTATATATGTGTGTGTGTGTATGTGTGTGTGCAGAGATGTGTGTATGTATGTCTTTTAATGGATTAAAATAAACAGGATAATTTTCTGTTTAGACAATGACTGGAAGGAAATGCTCATATATTGGACTTTTTTGTTTTGTTTAGAATTATTACTTATCTTTACTGGCAAATAATACAAGGAAGAAAAACCATGACCAAACTCTTACGTAAGCAAATTATTAATGTAAGTTTGACTTTCAGTTGTATCTTTTTTTTATAATTTGGCTTCTTTGTCGATTGTCTCATCCAGCTTTGTGGAGCTGTAACCTGTTTTGGCTATGACTGCGAGGGAGGGTGGGAGCCCTTCCTCATGGGACTTGCAGAGAAATTTAACTCACAACTAGAGTTGTTGCAAAAGAATTGTATCTTCAAGATGTGCTGCAGCAGCTCCCTCTGTAGGCCGATTATTTTAGGATAAAAGGAGTTATTCTCATCAGTGGTTACTTACAGGCCTTGAGCCTCTCAGGAATGATTAGTCCATTCCAGCTAATGATCTAGTATGTTTTGACCACAGGCAGCAAAAGACAAGATGTTTTTACTTGAAAAACTAAGGAGACTGCAAAGGGCAAACCGAAATCCATCTGCAGTGAGAGGACGAGGCCAGCAGGTCAGTCTGCCTGTTCAGGTGCTGCTGTTTAATTACGTGCTTGGTCTGATTCCATGGGGCTCCTCCAGCCCTGCAAATGGGCTGCCCTGTAAGGATGTGTCTGTACTTAAAATTTCATGCAAACTGATTGATTACTAGTTAACTCCAGACAGCAAAAGGATATTCTGAAAGTTCCCTAACTATTTGTTCCAGGCTGGAATTCAACCTGGGAAGGATATAGAAAAGTCCTTACCCTCACCAGCCACAATTTATGGCTATGAAACTGCAAGAAAACATTCTTAAAGTGTGCACTGATGATCACAAAGGGTTCAGCCACACTTGAACCTTGCCTAGGCTGGGAATGAGGCTGCCTTCCTCCCCTGACTCTGGATTTCCTCAGAGTTTTATAGTTTGTGTTTTTTTCAACTGAGGTAAAACTGAGTGCTTTGATATAACCCCATTTTAAATCCCATATGACATCAATAGACATCTGATTTAAACTTAAATTTATTTTTCAAGGCTGTCATGCCCACCGACCAATCAAATTAGTGTAAAAATGTACACATGTAGGTGCTGTCTAGTGTTTTAATTTGTGTTGAGTAAAAAGTCCTTGACCTACATACTAGCAGAGAAAAAGTTTTTGGTAGGTTCCCCTCCTTCCTCCCAAAAAATCAAATCCCCCTGTACGACCGGCCATCATTAAAGTCATAATATAAATAAAAATAAATGAATAAATATGGATAACAGTTGATATTGATCTATTGTTAAATATAAATACACGTGTGACAATATAAGTAAATATTGGCTGTAAAGAGGGGAGCTGAAATTGAAGAGGCATTTTCTGTGTGCTGGGGATTTTCAAACAACCAGTGGCCGTGTCCAGTGTCACAAGTGGGACTCCTGAGAGGAGGGTTTGGTAGCCTATGAAGTGTGGATATTCTTGTAGTTGTTAAGATCAGATTTCAAAAGGAGATGCCAGAATAATCTCATTGTGGACCTAACAGAAAGGCAGACTCCCTAAAAGAAGGGTATGAGCACTGCTGACTATAAAGTCACGATTGGAAGCCAGAATACAGACTGCTAATGCCAAATACTCTGTCTTTCAGAGAAGCTCCTCTCCACACCACCCATCCAGGACACCTGCCCAGCAAGTGCCAGGCTACCCAGCAGAGGCATTTGACAGAAACCAAAACACATCCTACACAGAGGTGAGATGGTCAAGAGGGAAACCTGCTAGATTTCCTTATATAGAATCTGGGTGTGATACAGACAATGGGTGTATGTGGAGCAAAGAGGCCATCCTGTGTGCATGGAAATAACCTTAAAGATTATTTGGAGCAGGTATAAAAGTGTAATCAGAATAGCTGTTGGAACACTCCTAATCACAAACCTGCTTAAGACCTGGAGAGTATGGCTTTGTTACAGGTAACTGGTATATTTTTAAATAGAAGACAACAGGCACATGAGGGAAATCATGACCTAAACCTGCTTGTGAATTTTGTTTTCAGTATCCCTATTCTGCTGGGATCTCGAGTGGCACTGACTTCCCACTAGGTAAGCAACAAAGATGAAACACAGAAAGCTCTCAGAAGTTCAGCTCAGTAGGAATGTTTGTCATACAGATACAGCGTGTAACAGCTGGATGTCAGGGACACAGCTTTTAGCATCTTGTATAGAGAGAAAACAAAAAGATTGGGTTTCTGGGGTGAACATTTTTTATAGGATGTGTTTATTGGTAGCTTGTTCTGGTGTCGATGGTGACCTCTGAAGACTGTATAGCAGAAAGTGGAATTTCCTTGGGCAAAGGAGTCATTTTGTATTATGGGAGCACTCACAGACAAGAGCATTAAGTCACTTCAGAGACAGACTTCACATCTTGGTGTGATCTCAGAAGAGGTTAATAATGATGTAGGGTCCCTAGGATATCATCATGTTCCGAATAAAAAAAGCTACAGGATCTTGCCGGGTAGTTTGAGCTATTCCCGGTTTACACAATCATGTCCCTTCATTCCAAATACTTGGCAGATGAGACCCTTAAATAACACGGGGCTTTTTAATGGGGGTGGTGGTTACATCATGTCAGCACAGTTAACATTGCCTCTGTGGTGACAGATGGGGAGCCAGCCCAGCCCAGCAGCAGTGGCATGTCCGAGGCCGTGGCACTCGCCCTGCGCGCCAGAGAAGCGGCTCAGTGGGACGACGACGATGATGAAGGATATTTTCAACCCTGAGCAGGCACAGTCAGTACCACTGATGGGTGTCCTGCAGAAAGCAACATTCTTTTGCACTAATGACTGAAAGAATCACTCAAACATTTTTTTACCTCTAAATGGGACAAAAAATAGAACAAAATGCATCCCAACTGCAGTTTGTTATGACAGGGAATATCCTGCGTGATGGGTTTGTTTTGCAGCAGTGGTACTCTGGTGACAGTCACCTCGATGCAGTGAGACTCCCTGCACAGCTGGCCACTTGTTGTTGACTGAATATAAGGAAATTTGTGCCTAATTGTAAATAAAAGTTATGGTTTAAAAATATTTTTGTATCAGTTATATCGTTTAAACTGCTTTTATCTGATCTAAACCAAACCTGAAGTATTGGTTAAATAAACACAGAAGGAAATTAAAGTGCACTTGTTTTTAATGACTCACATTGTAATGGCTGGGAAATAATTTGTGTGAATGAGGTTAAACTTCCATTCCATTTTCACTTTTCTGTGCCATTTTTACAGTTTATTACAGTCACTCAAAAGCAGCTTTAATGTTAAAAGCTCCTGGAACTCTTAAGAGTGACTACTTATCAAAATTCTCATCTCTGTAAAACCACTGCTTGTAAACTAAAATTTTTCACATCTTTTCCCATAAAGGATTGATTGGAAGTAACACAACAGAGATTTATTTTTTTACCGTGCATGACTGAGACACGATGCAGCTTCTTTTTATTCAGAGCCACAACTTTACCATCATGATAATTGTTTTGTTTTGTTTAGCCCATTTTCTACTACTGCCTGGTTTATTCCTCCCTCATTGCTTTGGACATAAAAATGAGGGACATCTTTTCCTCTTGCTTGTAATTTAGGCTAAAGACAACCCAAAACCAGCCACCAAAGGCACAGAAAAAAGGACAAACTTCACATAAAATGCAAGACCAGATTCAATTTTATTGTTTCCCTGTGTGTACAGCTGTGGAGTCTGGCTGTGAGTATTGGATGTGGGCCTGGTGTTTGCACTGAGGATGTGACTCAGCAGTGCCAGCAACAACTAAAACTGGACCTTTGGAGCAAGGGCCATTTGCTGTGAAGTCTTTTGCCCTTCAGTGGCCACATGGGGAGCTCCTGTCAGGCTCAGCAGTAACAAGTAGAGGCTACAGCACTCACTGAAGTGGCTGGACAGAAGCTGAACATAATGCACATGTGCTATAGGACGTGCACCAGAAGGCTGAGATTGTTGCTTCTGCAGTGCAGGGTGGACGAGTGACGTGAATGGAAGAGGTCCTTGTCTTCCTGACAAGGAAAACCACCTCCTTTGTGCTTCTTTGTGCTTGTATGTAGCTCAAGATACAACCAGAAAATCCATCATCCCTGGCAGAACATAGCATGAATCTGCACTAATTTTGACATTTTACACCAAGGCACTGCTGCATGGCTCAAAAAGAATACCCTTCCCATGAGCTTTCAGATACTTGTTTATTGTAACTGCAGACTCTTTGGAGTTCAAGTTAAATCTGGATTACAGTTTCCATAACCCTTTGAGTGCCCTTCAATCATGCAAACAATAAGCGAACTAAAAAGACATGTCAGCTCCATTTGTTCTACCTTTTACCAGCACTCCATATATACCTTTCTTTTAAAAATAAATACATTCATGTGCTGTGTCATTAGAAGAAAGAGTTTCCTATGCTCCCTTAGCTCTTTTAAAAAGTCTGGAAGATAAGAAGCTAAACAAGTTTTATTTATTAATTCTTATAGCCTTCACATTCCACATGGAAAGGTGGCTTTTTCTTCCTTGCCAGGATGCAGCACAGCCATCTTTCCATGCAGGGGAGGGAAATATACTCACCCTCTATTTTGGCACCATTACTTTCAGGTTCTGTTTTAAGAACAGCAATGTAGATGTCTTAAAGACACCATAAATCCACCTCAAATTATTATACAGTTTTAGATCATGCTGTTAAAATTACTAAAATCAAGGTATGACTTTAAATTTTGACAACAAAAATTGCTAATAGGAATTTATAACCAGAATTTAAACACAGCAAGGGAATAGTCAGAGAATTATAAAGCCACCTGCACAGACAAGGTTTGGCCCAGTTTGCTTGTCAAATCCGATTCTTTCACATTACAGCAATTCCCTCAGACTGTGTGTGGCTGCACCACAGCTCTGTCCAGTGCCCCAGAAGGCTTTTCTACATTTGAGGCTTGACCACAGGCAGAAAAAAACCGCTGCTCTGCCTTTTCCCAGAACCATTGTTATAGTGGTCCATTGGCACTGCCGGATGCCCTGTGGATGGTGAATGGACGGGGAGGGAGTGCAAGGTGGGTCAGTAGTGAGGGTCACAGTCCTCCACCAGGCTGTCGGTGATGTAGCTGCACTCAAGGACGTTTTCTAAGTAGCTTTTCTCTGCAAACGTGTTCACTGTCCAGGGAACCACGTGAATTCCTTTTGAAGACCAGTGACTTACATAGTCCCTGCAAGGGATGAAGACATTCTAAGAGGAGGTTGACACTACCACAGAGAGAAGGCAGACAGTGCTGAAGCTACATCTGGGTTTTAGTCTTGCGTCAGTACGGCACCAAGAACAACAGCGTGTCCTCTTTTGCAACATCATCTTTTTGTGCTTTGTTATTGTAAACAGGCAAAAGCAACAGTTCTCCTCTTTGAAAGTAAACTTAGAATCTAACATAAGATAAAAATTCAGATTAAAAAGACAGAGGCTTAAAATAATAAAATAGCATGGAGTAAAGAAACTATCAAAAGAACCTTACCCAACACTAAATGGAACATTTTGATAAGCACATACTGCGTTAACTCCACCCTATAATAGAATGGCAACATCTCCTGGTATATGAGCAAGCTTTAACACTTACTGAGAAACAAAATTTTTCTGTACGAGGAAAGCTGAATTCCCACACAGTCGCCACAAGAAACTGTGTAGGCTCCAATCCACAATGATATCCATCCCCACATACAAGTAGTGTTTCCAGAAGGAACGGAAACGGCGTGTCCCATCTCCCAAGTGACTCAGGTGCCAGGGCCGGTGTGTAAGTGCTGTCACAACCTTTCTGTCAGCTCGTCTCATCTGCAAGACCAAGGAGAAAAGACTGGAATTCATCCACAAGCCCAGCTGCATTAAATACAGTTTTTGAGATACAAAGTGCTAGTTTGCGTTTGCAGCTCTACCAGAGTCCTTCTCCCCTTCCCCTCCAGGTCCTTTTGTAACTATTTTGGAAAGCTGTTTATGAGATTTTATTTTTTTTTTTTAAACATACTGAGTAAGCACCTGCTCTTATGTTAAAAAAAAATTACACAGCAGTCATGCAATGTATATACTGGAATAAAATACATAGTAAGTAGCAGTGGAAATGACAATTAGGAAACAGTTTTAAGAATAGTGTATGTTTACATCAAAATAAGAGGTTTATTTAGCAGGTACCTTGCACACAGATACCTGGCCATACACCAACTGAAATGGCAACACACTTTTTCCTGCATTGCTTTCAGAATGGAGGGACTTACAGTGGATTCACATGTGCCTTTAATGAGTAGACTGATCTAATAAGATTATGCATTATGCTTCATTTGCTTTTAAAAGTCTTGGCAATTTTAATGACCCAAGAGTAACCTGGAACTGGGAGTTTTATACCACACTGAAATTACCAGGCAGGACTAAAAAAATCCAAAATAAACTTTTAGGAAACATCACCTTATAAACAACATCTGGCATGAAGGAACAAACTATACTGCTGTCATACAGCTGTGGAAATTCCAGGTAGAGTTGTTTCAGGGCATCAACTGCCTACAATTAGAGACACGCACAGATGTTATATTTATACATACACTCATATTTACACTGCAGAGTCATTCTAGAACAATGCCCTTTAAAAACATTTTCCAGTTTTCTGTAGCAAGATTGAAATAGAAAGGGGGAAGAAGAAAAATAGCATCTTGCTTATAGCAGTAACACAGAAATGACATTTTGATTTTTTTTGCAACAGAAGTCCTCTTTGTGATTCCGTTTACAACATTCTCAGTGTTTGAAATACCCTTAAAGACAATGTGGATACAATTCTGACACACTACTCAGGGTTTAGTTCAAGAGGGAAATTAATGTATTTCCATATTTTGCTGTGCTAAAGAAAAAATAATTCTAATTTGCATAAAATGTTAATGACTGATCATCTGCATCTGCCTTCAGTAATGCAAATTACAGATCCCTTGTTGAAGGCTGAGGATGAGGTGCTGGCTCCCCCCAGCACAGGCAGCAAACTCAATTTGCTTTGTTTCACTGTGGTGCTATGAGTTGAACGTTAACACTCACACACATCTTGTGCTAATTTTAAATTGCAGCTTCCCAGAACAACTTTGGGGATGACACAAACAGCAGGCCCAGTCCCGCCCATATTCAAGAAGGGTGTGTACCAGACATATGAGTTTGAGACCAACACAACAGCAGGTTAGAAATCCACAGAAGGTGTGAGGGAAGGTACCTGATCTGCATGGCCTTTGACGTCAAAGTAGATTGTAAGGTTGTGACGCATGGACTCCACAACACCTTCTCTCAGGGTTGGTACCTTTTCACCTGGGAATTTGCTCCTGTAGAAATGGACAACTCACTGGAATGCAGTCAAGATACACGTGCACATATGCACACAGGCACACATACCCCCAACCACAGAGCTGTTTCCTAAACACAGTTTGCTACAGTAGCACTAGAGCTGGGATCAAGTAGTGTCAGCAGTGTCTCTCTCACCCAGTAATAGACTGCACATGTGGAGGGATATGTACACATCTCCTTTCCCCTCAGAATCTCACTGATTAATCCCACAATTAAATCCTTCCAAATTCAAGTTCTAATCTGATGCTCACCAGCCCCATGTTCTGCATCCAAACACTAACCTCAGTTCTTCACCTCCTTCCCCAACTCCCACAAACAAGCATTCAGTCCCAACTGCTGCCTTCCTCCCGCTCTGACTGTGCTCCCCAGCCCTGAGCCAGAAACACAGATCCTGGCAGAACAGGCAAGACAAGCTGAGGATGCAGCACAATCAGCTTCACCCATCAGTAAAGGATTCCTGACACGGTGACAGTGAACAACAGCTGCTCAGCAGTCACTGCCCGTGTGGAAGTTCTCTCTGTGTGGCTCAGGTGATCACCTTTCCAGTAATGGGGAACAAACCCACGGGTGGCACATTTACAGGAGGCTGGAATTCCTTAATGCACTGTCTCAGGACCACACACTACAAGTTCTTCCTCTGAAATGGATTCACTTACAATACTGCAGAAGTTGCACTGTTAGCAAATTTTTAGTAATGTATAAAATATTTTCCCCTGCATGCCCCTGGGAAGGACCTAATCAGCCATGGGGGTCACAGTGAGACACCTAAATTCTGTCTAGCTCCTTTTCAACAGTATAAACATGATGCTTAGAATCCCCAAGGCACAATCAGTCAAGAAATATAAGCAAATAAAATTAATTTTTGAAGCAATTCCTTGAGCCAATTTTGACATATCATGAATCTCCCCACATCTTTAGTGTCCTGCAGTCAATTTAGGACAAGCTTTTGTAGAGATTGACCTGTTTCACATTAGATGCCTTGGAATTTTGTCCTTGAAAGCCAGTTGACTCTTCTTCACTGTTTCTATTGTAACAATAGGTAAGAAGATATAGTCTCATATGCTTCTATAATCAAAGTAACATATGGGACTGAGTTTTAAATTTACAAAAAGTTTCATCAGTGATAGATTAAATCAATAATTCTGTTTCTCAAGAATGGTATTTTTCACTGTTCAAACTGTAATTTCAGAATAGCAGTAGATCATTTACCGTAGCCTGTGTTTGGCAGATGCATTAAGCTTCCTAATTTCATCAAAAGTCAAGTCACACAGTCTTCCAGACCCATCAGTTGTCCTTTCCACTGTATCATCGTGCATTAGAATGGCAACACCATCTGCAGTAAATTCAACATCCACCTCAACACCCGCTGCTCCATTCTCAGCTGCCTTAAAAAAAAATTTTAAAAATCACATACACAAGAGACAGCTTTGTATATATGATATAGGCACAGCTATAATTAGCTTGTGTTCTGGGAAACAAAAATAATAAAATAATAATGTTATTTTCAGTAAGCTTCATCTGCAGAGCAAAGCAGGTTTTATCCAAGCCATTGTGAGAGCATTCATAGATCAACAGAAATATAATCTATTTTAAACCATAGTGATAATGTTGGGATTGGGACTGTTTCAGAATAAAAATGCAGAAAAGAATCCTGCTCACACCTTCTGATGTAATAACCCTGGAGTCCTTATGTCATTTTCTATAAAAGAAGGGAAGCAAATGCCTGCAATTTACAAAATCTACAGGATAACAGCAAACACTCCTCTCTGAGGAAGAAGCAGCCAGGCTGCCTTAGAACATTTCATATATCCTGCTTCTGCCCTGGCACTTTCCCAGGGACTCCTCAGGAAAACACTCGAGTGAAGTGCAATCAAGACCAATTGTTCCGAAAGCCAAACACCCTCCTGGGAAAAGGTACAATGCGCCAGAAGGACAAATGCCAGGTAGGCACTAGAGGTAACCCTCTCAGGAACACTGTGAGCCCTGGCTGTGCCTTGATGCCCTGCAGGTGGGGCAGCAGTCAGTCATGGCAGGGCTGCACACAGTGAAGTTCTCCCAGTATCAGAGTTTCCCAGAACTCTGGATTCTCATTACAGATCTTTGAGGTTTAAAAAGCACAGCCTATCCGAGTTGCTGTCCTCTCTCTGTGTGCTGTTGCTACATCAGCAAAAGACAGTATTTCATAACTGCTGTACTGTTGAAATATCCATCAGCACCAAGGCTGTAACAGCTCCCACAAGACTCAGATCTTATCTGAATCCCCTTGGGGATGAAGGACCGACCAGCCACACAGCTTCCTGCGGATGCTGGAAGAACATCGGGAAATACTGAGGATGAGGGAGGCTTGGCCCCTGCAGGAGGGTCGCATCACCGAACACAATCCACCAGATCTCATCGCTGCCCACCAGTTTCACCGCTCACCCACCAGGCCATGTGGGCTCCGCGAGGCCCCGCGGACCGTTTGGCAGCTCCGCCTCGCAACTCCACCCCGCGCCCCAGGCCCCGCCCGCCCCCCGGGCGCGCTGACCTGTCTGATGGCCCCCAGCGTGTTCTCGGGCGCGTCGTGGGCGCCGCCGCGGTGCGCGACGCGGGCGGCGGTGCCGCGGGGCTGCAGGACGCGCTGGGCGCTCCGGGCCGCCGGCGGCTCCAGCGACAGGAGGTGCAGCGCCACGTACAGCCCGGCCGGCAGCAGGCACGCCAGCGCCGGGCTGCGGCTCAGCGCCAGCACCACCACCAGCAGCGCCGTCAGGAAGCTCAGCAGGCCGTCCCCGTGGCACAGCATGGCCGGGCCAGGGCCGGGGCCGGGGCCGGGGCCGGGATCGGGTCGGGATCGGGGCCGGACCCACGGCCGCCGCCTCTCCTCAGAACACAGGCGACGGCAACGCCCCCGCGCCCGGCACCACCCAATCAGCATTCGGCCGTCAGCGCCCGCAGCCAATCAACGCCCGCAGCGCCCGCCAACGGCCGCCCACCCGCGCTGAGGGCGGAGCTCGGGGCTCGGGTAATCCCTCAGGGACGGGCCCGGCGGCGCTGCTGGGAAACGCGCGGTGCTTCCGATAGAAAGGGGGTGGTGGTGGGGTGGGGTGTGTGTTTGTAAATGCCGTTAATGGGAGGGAAGTTCTGCTGTCGAGGGAGTCGCACAGCAGCTGTGTGTCTGGAGAGCGGTGAGGGCTTTCGCAGCTATGCTAGCTAATTAGAAACGTAGCATCGATAGTGTTTATTTTTCACTTAATTGCTGTGATTTTATATACAGCGTTATGTATTGTATATCTTATAAAGCTGGCTGCCCACTCGTGCCTGCCCACAGGCCAGAGCCAGGGCTCAGAGCCGGGAGCCACTGGAGGAGGAGGCAGTGCCCTCCTGCCGGGACAGAGGCTGGACAGGGAAGGTCACCTTTACCACCTGACACAAGTGTCAACAGCTGGAAGGAATCCACAGGGAAGAGCAACAAGGCGGGAAAACAGTGAAGTGAAGGCTCTAGAAACAGAATAGCAAAGCTGAGGAAATAGCTCGTATTAGATTTGTATTAACATAAATGAGGACTTTGACCCTTTTCCTGGTGTGTGTGTCTGTGGGGAAGAATGCGAAAAAACTGACTTTGTAGCGAGAAACTCTTGCAGACCAGAGGCGGAACAGGCACCAGGCAATCTTCTAAACGGGATTTAATTTTTTTTTTAATACCTGAGATATTTGTCACATACTGTCCTAGCTGGTTCTGAGCATCTCGGATATTCTCTTCATGGTTTTGGGCTTCTGCCAGGTGTAGCTGAAGAAAAATCAGAGAGATATATGCATATGTATAACAAATAATGGAGTGTCTAATTAGATGTCATACATATTTAAAAAATCTTTTGATAAACAACAGCATTTGTTAAGATTAAAGATGAAGATTTAAAAAAAGAAACCCTCAACAATCATTAACATATTGAAGAGGTAACAGACGACAAAGTTGTTTTTTGAAACAAGAACGACAGCTTTAACAGCTCTAAATACTCACTGGAAATTAGACGTTTCCATAAATTTAAATTTATTTTTCTTGGACTAAGCGCTGGCGATCAAGTGTGGATTTTCCTTCCACCTGACCTGCCTGTTGGGTGAGTGTTACCTGCTCCTGGACTGGCGGCTGGCTGCCGGGTGGGAGGGAGGGATAAGGTATCTGGAATGACTCCGGGATGCTGTCCTGACAGAACCTGTGAACAGGTGCTCATGTTTATCTTCCTCATCACAGCGTGTTCCATGAAACTGATACCTGTGGCGGCACATTTGTTGTCCTGACTATAGAAGGACTGCACTATACAAGGGCTGCACAGCTGTGTGATATTTAATGTGATAAAGCAGAACAGACTTCACCTGCGCTAACAGGGGAACTTGTCCGGGAGAGCTACGAATGGAAATGGTTGGAAATCAGAGCAGCAGGATGGCGCTCCATCCCCTCTCATCCCTGTGAGCTAGGGCTGCCTTTGCTGGGCGCTCGCCTAAGCGCTGCAGAACTGCCCCGCGGGCTGTGTTGTGTGAAGGGCTCTGCAGACGGCGGCAGGCCAAGCCGAGAGGTTTGTCCCCAGGTCGCGGAGGCGGCAGCGCAGCGAGGGGCGGAGCGGGGCGGGGCTCGCTGTGCTCGCTGTGCTCGCTGTGCTCGCCGTGCTCAGCGCTGCGGGCCCGCGGGCGGGCGGCGGTTGCCGGGGAGCGCTGGGGCAGCGCCGCCAAGGGAGCGGGGCCGGGCCGGGCCGGGTGCGAGCCCCGCGCAGGTACCGAGCGGGGCCGGGGCTGTGCCGGGGGCCGGGGGCACGGCGGCCGAGGCGGGGAGGGCCGTGGGGAGGCGAGGCAGCGGCCCCGGCCTGGGGCGGGCTCGGTGTCTGGGGGCGGGCGGGCAGGAATGGGCCGGAGCGAGGGAACAAAGCGCCGTCAGGCCTTGCCGGGCGGTGCTGGGCTCTGGGTTTTCGCTCCGGTGGGAGCGAGCAGTGTCAGATGTGTAGGCGCTTTTAAGGAAACAAGGCTGTAATTTATCTTTGGGTTTGTTTTTTTTTTATGTTTTCCATGGAAATATTGGCATCTCTTCATACAGACGTATGTATACTCCGTATCGGGACGGAGACTCACGGGAGTAAGACACAAATGCCTCTCAGCCCCCTGTTCTTTCTTTAATACCAGCGCTTTTTTCCTCTTTTTTTTTTTCTTTTTTTTTTTTCCAATTCGGCTGCAATGTTATTTATTGTTTTTTTACGTAGGATCTGTCCGATTGTCGTGGAAGATCTCAAAGGTTTAGTCTTCGATGGAAATTGAGATTGTCTGTAGCAGGTGTAGTCCTGTGAATCCTCGTTATCTCAACACTTGCTTTCTTCTCCATGTACCTGTGATCATCATTTTTTGGTCATATATGCAGATTCTGGTTTTATAGGGGAAAATAAGGAACAGCTTTGCAGCTTTTCATAATGATAGGAACAAGAGAAACTGATTCGGTTTTCTGGTGTAGAATTTGTTTCCCAGAACAGAGTGATACAGAAATAGTTGTGATGTTGTTTTCCCTTCAAGGTCTTTGAGGTGTATGGAGGAATAATGTTATTATTCTTTGCAGCTTAGTTAACATGAAGATGGAGGACTATGAAATATTCTGTAAGAAGCATCTTTCCAGAATCCAAGAAGAGGCAATAAAAGGAGAAACTTCTTTTACTGTTCAGCACAAAAATATCTCCCTCATTCATTTCTATGGAGTCCCTGTTCTTTCCCCTCTGGTAAGGCCTTTTTTTCCCCCTCTTTCCTCCCTGGTGTCCTAACTCTGCTGTTGGCACTAGCTTTGATGTGCACATGTAATAATTCTGCTGAAGGTATCTGGGTGAGCTGTCATCTGGCCTGCTGCTTAGTGTGTTCTGAGCATTCCTAACCCTAATCTTAAAAAGCGAATGGGTAAAATATACTTCTTTTCCCCACATTGACTGCATTGCTTGCAGTTTCTGGAGATTTGTTATCTTCATAAGCAGAGCACAAATGTTTGTGGTTTTCAACTGACAAATGTTATTGCTGGGCTTACCTTTATGTAAAATCACAGTGACATTTCAAATACCAAACATGTGAGTTAATTTAACAGTGTCAAAAAAAAGGTGAAAACAGGAAATACTGAGATGGTTTAAAAGCCTTTAAGTAAATTTTTTTTGCACGTTGTTTGCATCTTACCCTAATGTATTTCTTAGGCTCATCAATTATGTTAAGTCATTCTGTACTAATGCAAACAGAGCCAAGCTGAAGATTGTTGGTAGTTCCTGCAATACTGCAGCTGACTTCTTGTTTGTGTGGTGGGAAGTGTGAATGGAGAGAGACTCTAACAACGATGTCCAGAAATCATGATAGAAATTGCAGACTAAATGATAGATTGTCATATTCTTAATTTACAAATGGGTGGATATTGTAAAGTTGGGTAGAAAAAAAAAATGTCTGAATTCTGTGTCAGATTGGTAATGTAATGCTCATGGAAATTTTTTATAATGGACATTTTAAATTCATGTTCATTTGCATGTGTGCCAAGAAGGCATTTTGTGCATCTTCCCTTTAAAAAAGATATAATTGGTTGACAAGAAACTGCAATTTAACAGGTGCACGAAGTCTCAGATGATTCTTCTAATTGTTTTGTTCTCTTGGGTTTTTTTCTAATTTACTTCTGTAATTCTGTACTGAAATTTGCATTTAGTGATATAAACCATATTTCTTACACTCTGTTTTGCAGCTTAGCCTTGAAAAGAAAAAGGAAATACAGCAATACAAGGAGAAAGCATTGGACCTAGAGACCAGGAAACGGAACTCCCGGAACAGAGCTTTGCTGAATCGTGTTCAGGAGATTGTAGAAAATGTCCAGGTAGTGTTAGTCCAAAGCCACCTCATAGCTTTGCAGAAAACCTCTGTTTAGAGACATTTTGAGAAAGTCCTGGGGTTTAACTCTTCTGAAATGAATAGCAGTTAACTCTCCCCAACTAGCATTTGCTAGTATTTCATGCTATGTGTCCTCATAATTGATTATTTGGTGATACTCATTGTAATGGAGGGGACCTGCTTTTCACTGCTTGTTTTGCTATATGCAGAAGACAGACCACAATGTTGCTTTTGTAGCTGTGTTGGAATCAACTAGATTGTAAGCACAAATTAACAAACCCCTGGTGTTAGAACTTGCTTTATTTGCGAGCTTACAGTGTAATCAGAAAATAATTAAAATTGCCATCTCAACAATTTGTAATTCTATTGTGTGCTTTACAATTTTACTGCAACTGTATTGTTTTCTTTGCTACTTCAATGATGGATTTAGTAGAGGTTTAAATTGAAAAGACTATTAAATATATCTAATCAAGGAGTTGTCCTTGAAACAGTTGTAATGCAACCTTTAAATTAACCTGTTGCTTAAACGAGTACAGTTAACACTGAGTTTGTTGAGTTACCAAGGTGACAAACAACACTGCTTTGCATTGTTCACTGGAGTTTATGTGGCAACAGTCATCTGGCTTGGGGTTTGACCAGTAGACCAGGAACATACATTGAATACAAAAATAAGCAAGCTTTCTTTTTTTTTTTCCAAAGGTGTCTTCTTGATAACTGAATTGCAGCACATAGGATAATTGTAGTGTGAAAATCTTTTTAAACAAATGCTGGCTGGAAGTAACATGTAATTCTTACTCAAATAAAGTTTGTTTTTCAAGTACTCAACAAATGAAAACTCATATTTAGTTGTCTCTGGATTAGTAAAGAAATAAAAAATTATTTTATAGTCCACTTTTTATTAGGAATTATGTTGATTTGTTTGTGGTTGTCCTTAGGTTAGTTTATATTTCTTGTTGAAATTTTTCAATTACATTTCTTATTTGATGTAAACATGTTT